TTCAAAATTATCCAAATGAACTCCCTCACAATCCACAAAAAGTTATGTTTGTTTGGCTGAAGGCATGACTTCCCCGTGGGTCACCTGCAGAATAACAAAACCTGTGCGATGAATTCTCGCTCTTGTGTTCTCTGTAATTAACCAGCATGACATGTCGCAAAGGACAAGCCATCGTCTTTGTTGTTTCTCCTTGATTTTTACATTGTGTCTGAGGGGATCCAAAGTTCCAGAATTCATTGATATGCATTGCTCTGGTTTGAATTTGCATAAAACATTCTGAGTTTAACACTGACAGCAGAGCAGAGATGGTCCTTTGGTGTTTTTCAATGTATGTTTTTGTTTGTTATTCAAATGTGGGTATTATGTTGGATTAAATTGGTCAGAATAATCACTACCCTGTGAAATGGTTTTAGGTTACTTTTATGTTAATTCAGACATTGCTTCGTGGTGTTTTGTTTGTGATTTTGTGATACACTTTGAATCAACAAACAAATTCAATTCTTCTGAAGAGATACAAGTTGATTTGATTAAAAAGCCCTCAGAAATGTTAATTCCTCAATACATTAAAGCTAGGGTACGTAACCTTTTTAAACCCCCAAAATATTTTTCAGACAGAAAGGTGAAAAAGAGGGGACCGCCCTGATTCTGCCAATCAGGTCTCAACCCAAAGCATCAAATAGTGACTCACAGGGCTCTCTCTTAAGTATGCAAAAGATTATAAAAAAATGGGCGAAGACTGCACGTTTTTGTCTTATTTATCTACTTTCACAAGACTTTTTCTTTTGAGACAGAGAAAAGCAAAACAAGTTATGTACCCAAGCTCTAAGCTGTTAATGTAGAGTTGGGGTGTGTCTTACTTATCAGAGGATTCAGTTGTCTGCAAATGCATTTTCCCCATAATGTTTAATATACTTCAAGAGGGTTGACTAGTGGCCTGGGGGGGCACTTGTTTGGTGTTTTACATAAATACATGAAGCCATCATTATTAGATATAGTGTGGACACAATCTCAGTATCTTAGTTTGCAGTATCATAATCCTGTACAGTGTGGCCCCAGCAACATCCAAGTCTTTGTCTTGGCTCCTAGAAAGATGTGGACTAACCATGCTATAGTAGGAAATGGCTTTTCTGGAAGAACTTAACTCTAACATCTGGTGCCATTGCTACTTCATAGCAACCAAAGAGCCAATCCGGAGTGAGGCGGGATATTTGCTCGTCATCAAAGGCAAATTCAGGTACAGAAGGGTCCAGATCAGTCAGTTATTGGGGTTCATACCCGTAGTAAGTAAGTAAGTATGTTGATTTACAAAGACAGACAGAATGTGAAGCATTGAGTGGTTACAGAGTAAGTTTCATTTTCAATGAAAGTGAAAGGACTGAAACCTCTCTTTTGGATTCATCAAGCTATAGCACAAGTTGACAGCCAAAAAATGGTCAGGGGTTTCTCAACTGATTTAGACTAATTTTGGTGTTCTGAGTCCGAATATCACATTCATTTTGCTCTATCAGGTCAACTTTTTGAGATACAGCCTTAGTGTTACGGATTACGTACGTCTACGTCATTATGAATTCTGCTTATCAAATTTGATGGAGTAAATAAAAACTGAATGACTTTGGATACGTTGACTTTTATTTCTTGAGAAAAACGGAAAAAACGTCAAGGGTTTCTCAGCTGATGATCCGCAGAAATTAGTTTTTTACGCGAAATCGATTTACAAAAATATTTCTGTAGCAAAAAATCCTGACCTGATTGAGCAAAACCAAGGTCATTTTCGGACTCAGCTGGAAAACCCTGGACTATTTTCAAAAAATATTTTTTTGTTACCCAGTGTAGCTTAGCACTGCCCATCTCTATACATACAGTCCGTGATGCAACCTCAGTTTTGGATTTTAAAATGCATCACATTCTGGTGCCTTAACGTTCCCTGGTGAAATTCTGCCTTTTGTCTCACAGCTTGCTATAAAAATAAATGTCAGTACCAAAACGTATACATCATGTTTTGTTGAGCATTTTCCTCCATCTGGAACCCGATCTTATCACACAATAATGTTTTATTATGTGAAAACAATGTCATTTTACTGCTGTATGATGTGATTTTAATATATTTGAAGATAACAAAAGTCCTTGCTTACAGAGCGTGCAGTAGGCAAATGTGCTGCGCTCACTGTTAAACATTTAGGCAGCGACATGTCCTGGTTTTTACTCTGAGTCTGTCATTGTGTCCCCTGAGCTCAATACGTCATAGACAGAAAGCATGACTAAACTACTGCGGCAGGTCACAAGTGGACAATGACATTAAATTAGTTGCGTCATATTCTATTTTCTGTTATTGACAAGTGTAAGGGCACGTAAGAGGCTCACACTATGTCCCTGAACTCTTGATCCACATGGGTTTAGTTGGTTTGTCAACATCTTGGAGCATATGTCCGATTATATAACGGATGAAACTTACCACTGACGCTACTGGAGGTTATTGCTTAGTCATTTAGAGATTCTATGTTTAATTTCACTTTTATCTTGTCAGATTAGGGACATATCTTTATTATATTCTTTTTTATTGTGAAGCTGTGACATGCTGTATCTCAGTTCTTTCTGTTCAATACTGCAAATAACATTGTAAGAAAAAAAGATCACCCAATGTTTGTTGTATATTTACAAAGCGCTAGTCCAATTTCATTTAATTGAGCGGGATGTACGGTGTGTGAAGCCTTGCACTGTGTTTGAGATCTGAAATTCAAGTTTGTTTGGAATAACTGCACCATTTCCACTTTGTTTTCAGGCCTGTAACCATGTAAACCGATCTTATTATCCTTATGTTAGAATAGTGTGTATTTGGACGCCCTTGGCTCATTTTTTTATTATAATGACAGTCCCTCATTGCACTTTTAATGGTTTTGTTTGGTTTTGTTGCGTGACTCATAAGCAGGAAACATGTACTGTACGTGTAATTGCCATGTGTAAACTACATGACTTGTGCTGCTGCAGTTGAGCATGTGTGAAAATAAACAAGCAAGATGCTACATGATTATATTGGTGCAACACTGTATACTGTCTACATTATATACAGTATATATATGATTGGATATGTAGTGCATATGATAGCAATTTTATTTACAATTCCTGTAAAAAACATCTCAACAATCCATATTCTCAGCAGGAAGCATGGAGGCCAGACGTTCCCTATAGTTGCTATCACACAATGCCTTTAAGGATACATTTTGAGATGTGAGTGGATTGGTTGTGCTCTAGTTGGTGGTCCGTCCTTTTTTGCAAAAGGCCAAATGCTTTTCTAAAGTCCTGCACAAAGCCGGATATGGTTGAAAGGATTGTTAGTGTCAGTCAAGGGTTTGAACTATTTCTTTCCTCTTTTACAGCTCCAAAATCAGTTTTAATGGTGCTTAGTACTTACTGTGACTGCATAATTCTCTTTATAAATCAGTTAAACTCAAAGTTGATATAATTGAATGAAATATTTCAAAAAGCCTATACCCTGGCATGAAACTCTGTTAGGGAAATAAAAAAGCTTTGTTTCCTCTCAACTTTCTTCCCAAACTTCCCAAAAGAGCCACTCTTTTTCTTGTGAGACGCAAAGGGCAACGCTTTGATAAGCTTTTGTGAGAGGAGCTTTGTCAACAAGACTATATTACTCTTAGCATTCTGTGGCATTTTGTTTTGTCATACATTTATTGACTGATATCCCTTGGGATGAGGTGGAATTCAGAAAAAAATGTGTGGAGGCCTTGAGTGGCCAGTATCATCACATGTTTGCATTCAACTTTTATGAAGGTTAGCAACTTATTATGCTCAAGCCTGGGGATCAGAAAACTTTTTATGGTTGGAATAAAACCTGCTTATGGATCCGTCTTATGTGAGAAAAAGACCATAGATTTACGCTGCACGACCTGAGGCTGTCTGATCTTTTTTTCCTCCTCTGCTAGACTTCCTTCTAACAGGTGATGAAAGATGCTACAGGCCACAATATTATACAGCCATGTATTCTACTGCATCCCGATCAAATATTTATTGTGATGATATGGAAGGATTAATTTTAATGAAGAACTACTATGCCCTCTACTATGCCCTGTGCTGGGTAGCATAATGTTCTCCATGTAAAACGCTTTGTAACAACAGCAAAGGGTCATGGGAGTTCACGACTTGGTTATCCTGCTGCTATAAAATAATTAACACTGATGCCCCATGAGATATACTGTGGAAGGGAGTTCAGCATAAAGTTCCAAGCTGGCACTAAGCAATGTCGGATAATTATGTATTTTTATTTATATTTGTAAAATTAACAAGGGACTTCATTTAAAAGATATTTATTTGAGTTTATAGTTCATATGTCACATGCCAGAGCGGAATTGTAGAATTTTTTTTAGAAACGAGTGAAATGTGAAAAACTCCATAGAGCATATTTACAGGCATAGATTGTGTTTCTCCATACATAAACCATGTTAATTGTCTCAGAAGAAAGAATTTGTGAATATGTCAGACCACCACATCTAGTTAGCAAACATGTCATCTTTTGCATTCCTGTAAGAAAAGGGCCTGTGAAACCATTTGAGACTTTGAGCAGAGCACTGATTAGCTGATGGTGGTCCCCTTTTTTTACATTTTCTGTTAGAAAAAGCTGATCTAAAGATGAAAAGAACTTGCGATAGAGTTAAATAGTGATTGTGAAGCAGTTTTAGGGCGAGGAATGAGTCAGAGTTTATGACATAGTGTAATGTTTTGTGTTTTGAAAGTTCAGCTTTAATATAGATTGTCATGAATCAATAAATACAAATAAGTGATAACTGCATACAGTGATTTTTTTTTTCTTGTCTGCAAAGGCTATTTTATAATCAAATCATTTCTTGCCTTTGAGATTTACTAATTGCATCTTTTCAGAATGTGATTTTAATGAGATTGTAATTGATCTTGCCGCACTGAAGCACCATATCTACAATGTACAGTATCCAACCTCTTCTCATATATTCCATTCCTTCTTTTGTCTCCAGGAAGCGCAGTGCTGCTCAGGCCGGTGTTCACCAAACAGCCAGGCAGTGTGGTGTTCCCGCTCAAGCCCGGAGAGGACCAGAGAGAGGTGGTCTTCAGCTGTGAGGCCCAGGGACACCCCCTACCCAGTTACAGGTAACACTGTGGCTCCTGAGACTTATAAAGATGACCTGACCTCATCTAAAACCTATAGACTAAGTGCCATTCTGCATGATACCCACCCCACAAACACACACACGCACACTTACACACACACCCCACTTGCATGTGTCAAACAGACCGAATGCCTGATCATATGAACGCCATTAACGCCATTAACGTCATTTTTAAAAGACTCTGTACTGTAAAAAAAAATCCATCTATTTCCCTGACCAACGCGTCAAATAGTGACATACAGATCACCTTTCCTGGTCTGTATTCAAAGTGTACTTTTACAAGATTTTTATCACATAGTGACTGATCATATCAGGCTTACTGTATTTGCAATTATACATATGAAAAAGAATTATATGTACATCATTGAAAATTTAGACCAATCAATATGAAAGAAAATTCATTATACTGCCACCAAGAAAACAAACCAAGTGTATTTTAGTCTTTTCCCAATGATAATGACATCTAAATTGCCCCAGAAAGTGTAACCAATCCACGCAAAGCACTGTGTTATTAAGAGCAATCTAAAGAGCCTCTATTTCTCCGATGTCGGCTGCCTGCAGTGCTTAGTGTCTCTGTCAGTCATGGTTCATTTGAGAAAGATAAATGAATGGGCTTTGGTTTGAATGCCATACACATTTGCATTGTGTGGTGGGCATCGATTAGCTGTAGAGATCGCTTTGTGAGCTTCCTGCAGCTGAACCACTGACCAGTGGCGTATCAGGTGACCCCCCAATGCAGCGGCCCTGTTCTAATATCCAACATGAAGTAATGACATAGGTAATATGAGGAAATATGTGATTACATTATCCCTACTTATTTTTATTCTTTGCAGCATCCTATTTTATTTCAAGTTAATGTGAAGTTTCACTGTTGCCAAACAATGACAAATTATGACAAAATACAAACAGCCATAATGATTATTTTTTTAATTGCATCAAGTGCACAAAGTATTTATTCCCAATCAATTAGTGGTTAGACATTTTTGCCTGGGCACTTCTGTCACTGTAATTATATTCAGTTTGCAAAGCAGGGAACATTATGTGTAATAGGTTGCAACGATCCCTCATAATATCAGTGTATGCATGTGTAATTTTTGCTTAAAGATCTTCAGTGTTATGGCTAATGAGCGTAAATTGAAATTAATGTACACAATTTTATCACTTGGTGGTAGACCTATCTGTCCACCAGTGTTTTTCCTGTCAGGATCAGCCCCTGGTTAGGACTTTAGTTTATGATTTGACATCAGCTAAATGTGACCTTTCAAGTTCACAGAAGATGCTTCGCTTCATTTTCAGTAAATGCTCTACTACCTCTGTCAGAGAGATTATTTACACCAATGTTGGATCTCACAAGGTCTCATTTTCAGGAAAATAAAGAATCGACTATATGGAACTAAGTTGTGAGATAAGGCCAATGTGAAGGTGAGCTGCGTTAAATGAATGAAAATGGCAGATATTTGATTTTAACTTTACTATACAAAATGTACACTTTATTTATCCCCGTAGGGAACTTTGTCCTTTGTATTTGACCCATCCTGCAAACCTATAGGGCGTCTGTCAGGAGCAGTGTTTGCCGTAGTGCTGCGCCTGGTGACCCATCTCCAGATGTTAAGGCTTGGCTTGGTCAGGGGGATTTATCTATTTTGCATGTTTTTAGTGGTAGGGGATACCGGAGCACCTGGAAGAAACCGTAGCAAACACGGGGAGAACATGCTAACGCCACTCAGAAACGGCCTGTTCTGACTGGTATTTGAATTCAAAATCCCTACAATACTCAAAAAACTGGGTAATTTTCCTGTAAAAGTCTCTGTACATCATGAGTTCCAAGGGTTCCCACTTTAGTTATCTGCAGCAAGTCAATGCCAACTGCCTCTTCACAACCTGAAGCTTAAGCTGCATTTTTTTATTGAAGGAAAGGTCTCTCCATCAGTTTGCCAAGAAGACACATTTGTCTATGGTCAATAACGCTGTAAACACTTACAAAGTGCCTCCTAGTGTTCAAACTAGTGTTAAAATCTGGACTAAACTCACTTTTTGACTTTGAAGCAGCAGTTTCAAATGTAAGCGCTGCCCTCGCTCTTTCTGCTCCCCTCCCCTCACTTATGAAGCTTTCGCCCCCCTCCCACTCAAGCGCGTGCTCGTTTGCTGTTGTTTACGGAGCTAGATCATGGATCTCTATCTGGATGCGTCCCTTGTTTTGGTCAAAAAACGAATGGAAATGTCGCAGGTATTTTTTTGTTCCTCATTTGATTGCATGCCCAGTGCTAAAGTAGTCTGGTCAACTGCGCTTCCTGGGTGCCTCTCTCGCGGTCTCTCAAACGCTTGGCCTTTCTCCTTTCTTGTAGGGACTTTTTTTGGATGGCCGTTTCGCTGCAAAAGCAATAACTGGTGACAAAGACACGAGAAGTTTGAGGTTAGCCTCCGCCATGATGCTCGTTCACCTCAACTGTCAGTGCGCGCTGTTGCTTTTCTCAAAAAAGTGGGGGCCAGTGGTCTGCTGTGATTGGTCACAATCTGATCCCAAAATAAATATTCTTCTGCTACTTATTCTTCAAAAGGACGTGTATCCTAATGCACTGCATGGATATGGATTGAATTTTTACTAATGAATACAAAAATAACGTGATGTAATCCAGCTTTATATCACTTCAGGGGGTTAGGTTTTCAATGCGGCTTGTTAGTTAGTTTGTCTATTAGCCTTTTAGGTAGGTAGGCTACTATAATACTTTCTCAACAACATGATCCGTGAGCAGCAGAGGCAGGCCTGCACATGCAGTTTAGCACACTCTGTTCTAGGTTATGAATGTATATAATTTACAATACATCTCAAGAAGAACAAAAATATGTTTTTTTTCACACATTTATTTCATGCATGCATTTAATACATTTTCATTCCATTTCAGGCCGGCATTGGGCACATTTAACTGCATATATCACTTTTTTAGAGTTTAATCTTTAGCATGCAGCATGAATATGAATTCTTGGTCTTTGTGATGTGCAGCAGTGGGCTGGTGAAGGCTAAAAGGCTCTTGAATATAGTGGTCCAGGGACACAGAGGACAAATGAATGAGACTGTCCAAGCAGCGTATAACCACAGAAATCACCACTTCACATTGTCACCCCTCAAATGGCCTCATCTGCACTACTGGGCCTGCTCTAGCTCCAGCACAAAATAACTAAATCAATCTAATCAAGCAATCTGCTGTAGAGCAGTGCTTGGCTGCATGTGACACTCTCCCTCTCTACCCACAATTACAGCCCCCTCACAATGGCTCCAATGAAAAGAAAGAAAAGAACCCAGCAGACAAATCCCCCCTAATAGTTAAATCAAGCAGGAAATATAAGAATATGATCAGTTTTATATTTCAGAAAAGTCTGTCTCTTACACCAGATTCACCAAAGCCCACTTCAGACGTACCATTCAAAACTCTTTTCTATCTTTCAAGGACTCATTCAGCAAACAACTTTCAGAGTCACTGGTCTCTCTTTTGTCTGTTAGTTCTTGCACTATCATGCATGATAGGGCGAATTATCTCCTTGAACAATTGTAGCGGAAAAGCTGCACCTAAAATTAATGTTTTATATTTCTCTGATATCAAGTGTCACAATACTTTTTATTGTGTATATAATAAGATATAACCTTTATTCGTCATCATTGTAGGGCAAATAAAGGTTCTGAGGCAAACAACAGTAGCACCAACCAATCATAAGATGTTCAACAAGTGCTGGAAAAGTTTTGATAGAGCAAAAAATAAGCAACAGTAAGAGGTTGTATTATGGTGTTGAAGTCTTAGTCCTCATTATGTGTTTTGCGTTAGACTTTTCTGAGCACAGCACAACAGCGATGACAACAAAGAACAAGTCCATTGTTGTCATTGCTATGTGGAAATGTTTCATTGTTCACCGGTGTAATCTATCTATGTGCCATTTTCTGTTTCTCTGTTCACTAAAAATGCTCTTCAAAACATCCACACTCAAATTGCATTGATTATGCCGAACCTTTTTATTTTAAAGTGTGTCTGAAGAGGCCATCCTCATACTAATCTATATACTCGTTCCCACCAAGCAAACGCTCATGAATTTCAACCAAAAGGTAGGCCTTACAATGACAAATTTAAAAAACTCCTTTGAGAGTGACTTTAAACATGCGTGAGGCTCGGCACTTAGAGATACGTAGGTCCAAAACTTGTCACACCGGTTTGTAAATGGCCCTAAATTGAGTGTGGTTTTTGCCATTTCCTTATTATTTACTTAAACCTAAAATATATACATCCCTTGAGCCTGAGTCCTGTATCTACAGCCTGTCCGTTGGTGGGAGTGGATCCTCTCTCAATATTGTCTTACCCAAGGTGTCTCACTTTTATACACTTACTCTATACACTTTTTTGTTTTAGTTGTTTCTTGCCTATACAGGAAGGTCAAAGGACAGTGATCATCGGACATTTATTCATCAACATTTAAGGACATTGGTCATCCCGCTGTTTGTTATTACTGCATGTCCTATGTTTTAACTGTTGATATGTTGTTGGTGAATTGATAACCTTGTTAAGTCCTCAGAGATGGCTACTGTTGTGATTTAGGGCTGTACAAAAATACATTGAATTGAAATGATGTGTTATTAAGTTTCTTCTTTTTTGCATAAGATGTGCACTACATGGCTCTCGGTTAGGGCGCTTTAACCTGTATGGAGATGTGCTGAATGTCTCCTTTGTGCCATTGGCTTTGACAGGTGGAAGCTGAATGACTCGTTCATCTTGCCCCGACCCGGGTCACACTACTCTCTGATGGGAGGGAACCTGCACATCAGCCGCCTGAACAAAGATGAAGACGTGGGCATCTACCAGTGCGTGGCATCCAACTCTTTTGGTGCCGTGGTTAGCAGAGAGGCCAGCCTGCATATTGCATGTAAGTTCAAGGATCAAGCTTCAATGATGTTGTACTCTCAGGGAAATTTGTCTTAAGCTCACAGTGCTGTTTGACACAAACATACAAGACACACTCAACAACAAGACAACCAGCTCGTCTGCACAGTTACAACACAAGAATATACATAATATTGCACAATATTGGGGGGCACGATGAAAGACTGTTTTGTTGACAGAATTTTCCAAAGTATGCCTTTAACCATGCATGTCCACTGCTGTGAATGAATATGAAAACTTTCATTCTCCTTTGGGATAAGCAACAAGTGTTGTGTATGGTAAAATGTTAGGTACCCCAGCTTTAGTACATAATAAGAGGGGTTTAATTAATCCCACTGCGAGAACATTTTAGTGTCAATGTGTACATTACAGGACAATAGGAAGAAAAAGAGCATTCAAACGGCAAACAAGATAAATACATGGTTATGATGATTATGAATAATTATCATGATTTTAAAAATTCTTTGTCCTCTTAAATCATTTTAGCAGAGCCATAGAAATTTAGCTCTATTTTTATTTGGGAGAAAAGAGCCCATACTACCCTCAAAGAAGTCATTTGATAGTGATGGCTATGATTGTACATTCATTAGCAGCATATTATACGGACATAATAAACACATTGCCAGTTACACCAGTGAATTCCCAGTGCACACATCAAGATAACATTTATTGTCATCAGATTTTGTCAACATGCCACGCTGTATTTTCTATACTTTAACCCTGAATATAGTTTCCAGTCCATTCTGCCCATCCGCGTTAAACTCCTGACTTTTGGGTAATGAAGACTGTGATTGTGTGCTGGGCCTTGACAAGACCCTAGTTGGTGCTTTACGGCCTTCATCCATCACATTTTATAAGAGCCAGTCACAGGCGTCTCTGATGGCAAGGTGAACTTGAGGCCTCCACTGTTGATGGGCAGTCCATATCAAATGACAGAGCTGGTATCTGGGAACAGATGGCTCAGCGAGATTGAAATCTCTGTTTCTCTGCCACTGCCACACACACCGATGAGCCTTGGCACCAGCACGGCAAAAGCAAATTCATCCGGCCACTTCTTTGTCACAACACGGCATTAAATCTTTTGGCATATAGGGAAAAGGTGTCGCAAGTCCCCAGGCCATGTGGATCTTATCATATTTCCTATCCTTTTTTGAAGGTTGACCCAAGCTGTATGTTGTGGTTGACGGGTGCCATCCATCGCCAGGTTTCACCGCATGAAGGCGAGCATCAGCGTCAATATGTCACAGATCGTATTTATTGCTCTTGGTTTAACTTAATTAAGTGAACGCTGGAGTGATCGAGGGGGGAATGGGTCAAGGAAATCTTTCACAGGGGAGGTTATTGGATTCTCTTTGGCGTCATTTGTAAAAGACTGGAGCTCTGTGTAACTTATGGTCTTAAATAATGTCAAACAATTGCACATTTCAGCATAATCAAAACATTTATCCTTCAATCCGATAAAATGAAATGTCTTTTTAATAAAATATTAGTAAAAGGTATATATTTCAATGTACAAACCCCCAACTTTTAAATACAATGGAAATTATGCAACCTTTCTCTCTTAAATTAAAGTCAAAATTATAATTATCATAATAGAATTCATGTTTAAAGACTTTCGGAGCCAGATGGCCTATTTAGATCCAACTTGTTTGCAACCCTTTTACAGTATGTTGGATATGTACCCCCAACTGTATAACGTCCTAAAGAACTACAGAAAATGATAAATCTATCCAGATGTTTTCCCTTTTGTCAAATCTACTATAATGTAACCTTAAAAGACCGTACACTGTGTACGTTGAGTCCATAATTATTCCATATGTCTGAAGCTTGTGTTTAAATTGCAGCATAGATCATCACAGAATGGGTTTTCCAATGGTGGCAGACTGAGCATTTGCAGACTGCTTTTTGATGTATGTACTGTTGGAATATGAATACTAACGCAGCACCGGTACTTAAAAGAAACAATGTCTGGAGCCTGTATTGGAATGAAATAGTAGAAATTTTAATCCCTTAAAAGATGGATGATATTATGGTTTCAGTTACCATCTGGTCGTGGCTTAAACCTCTCAAAGCATGAGGCTCTTGATCCTGTTGACAATAAATGTTTAAAAGGTTGTGCAGCCTGCTGGGGAGAGAGCCGGGAAGAATCCTCGTTGGTTATCTCAGCCCGATTGACTTCTTTAATCTCCCGGGGTTGTTTTTTGTTGTAAAGTGAAAGGATTTTCACTGATGCAGGGTGCAATATTATACAACAACAGATGCCGGCTGTGCTATAGAAGGGCATTAGCCGTCTGTGCGCAACACTGCTGGTCCTGAGCTCCAAGGGCCGCTAAAAACAGATCCAAGAAAAGATGTGGGGTTTCAGTCTGGCCTGTGCTTTTTATGGTTATTTAATCATATTGCTATTGAGTATATCTATTTATTGTGCTTACACATGTGTACACCCAGCCAGAGATTGCATCGTTTTAGCCAGATTTTGAAGATTAGTATCATAATAAAAAACATCCATTCAATTAATTCATTGTAAAATAAACATGTTTTATGTATAAGATAATTGTCTTACTCTGGGGAGATCTTAAAAGGAGTGATTCATGCAGGCAGCCCAGGAATTTACTTGAACTTTTTGGTCAAGACAAATGGGTGACATTGCCACCAGGGAAGATAGAAAATCAGGGTTGAGTTTATGTCATTATAGCTTGAAAATAAATAGTAAATTGTACTGTTAGCAATGAGTGTTCTGACTGGGTGTCTAAACTTTCATGCCCAACTACAGTGCATACTCATAATCTGTCTTCAAACTGATTAACACGTGTAATTAACTTTCAATCTCACACGTGACATTGAGGAAAAACATGTAAAGGGTCAACTTTATCTTCTGTTGAGCCGAACCTTTATGTGACCATGTTTTCCTTATTTTGTGGGGAGGAAAACAGATTCACTTAGAGAGACTGAACACAGATTCTACCCAAACTAGCTAAACTAGTCCACTCAAACATACGCGCAATGCACTGTAATTTTTCTGTTTTAAATGTGAATTGGTTGCTATAGTTATTCATGAGTTTTGGCTGAGTGCAACATTTTGAGGACCCTATTTGAAAGATATAATATTGTACTTTGAATTATTAATCTATACATGGCAAAGGTCTTTATGCGTCATTCTGAAACCCATGGATAGAAACTAAAATTGAACATAATGGCCATCGCTGTTTTGTTCTTCGTAATATCTGTTGGCCTTTCGGAGTTGCTTGTTTTAAAAAGCTTTGGCCCTGCTGCTGAAGAATACCTTGCACAATCTACACTCAGCTGCTTTTAAAACCTGCCGAGCAACTGTGTGTTTAATGAAGGGTAAAATAACTGTATTTATGAAAGCAATGCCGGATGAGACTCCCTTGTATATTGGCCGCTCATGATTCCTCCTATCAATTCCGGTCCGTAATTGCACATCATTTGCATTTTTACAGGCTCCTGTCTCACCTAACTTCCTTATCGGTGTAATTACTTTGCAAATATGTCTATCTCTCATTTTTCGTCTGTCATTTGCGCCCGTTTTCATAGTCTTTTATTTGTTGCGTTTTGCCTCGGGTGTAAATGACATCTGCTTAGAGCCGCCGAGCACTGGAGCAAGGGAGAGTCGGCTCTGACCAAAATGAAATGGGTTTATAAATAATCATGTTTTTAGATGGGGAGGGGTTGTAATTGTCAGGAGACATGCAGGCAGCAGCTCTGTGTACTGATTAGACCCATTTTGAAGCCTATCAGTCCTGAAATGTCACTTGTCAGTCATGGTTAGGGTTTTGTGGCGTGAAGCATGGCAGAACAAAGAGTGGATAGCAGCGGGGAGAAGAGATGTGGAGATGATAAAGGCAAGGAATCTAAGAGGATGTTCGAATGTCCTTCACCACATCACACACGCTCTGCTCCCTGATGTGCACGTTTAAATGTAGGTAGTTATAACAAGTAATGTCACAGTACTTACATTTCTTGGTACTCACAAGTGGATGTTTGACACTAAAGAAAAGTCTTCATACTCTCTCTGTTATCCCATGTTTTGGCAAAATGACATTGGAGGTGCACATTTAAATACAGTATATGCCTATATTCATCCCTGTCATAAGCTACACCAGCTTCAAATGAGTCTAGTTTAGTCTTAGTCTTTCTCTATTTGTATCAAAACATATATTTTAATTTAGCCTAATATCACAACAGCTGAGTGAGAAAAGGAGAATACTTGGGGTAAGATCTAGATGTGTGCACTTTCAGTGAATTTAAGTCACTTGACTATTTGTCTCATTTCTACTTCATCTCATTGAAAAGGTTCTACACATGGACAAGAATTTCATTGAATTCCTTAATCAGTCATAACATGTAATAAACGCATAATTGAATGTTTGGAAACATTTTTTGAAGGTAATTTGTGGGAGGGATTGCGTCTCTAAACTGCATGTGTGGCGTATGTGGTAGAAAATGAATTCCATCAAATTGTACCAGCTCTGCATCTACCACTGAGCAAAATCTGACTAATTCACCACTGTAAACAGATCAGAGGCATGTCCAATTTAAAAGATAGATAGAATTAAACACAACACCACCCACTGTGAACCGGACTCGCGCTGCTTAAGCTTATATACAAAGATGATTTTGTGGGGCTTCTCTTGCAATATTTGAATTCAAGGCTTTACAGAAATGGAGCTTAAGCGGAGGTTCAGTATGGTAGACTACCTACGTTATCACACCAGGCTTGACCACGCCTTACTCAGCCTGTCTTAATCAACTCCCCGCAGCTGTGTCAATCAAGCCAGCGTTTAAGAGCAAAGCAGAGCACAGCTCACCAAACGGACTTCAAGCTGCAATGGGTTGCTCTTCGTCACCTTGTTACTCACGCCTCGCACATTGTTCGTCCTGCATGGTCGCGGCTCCTCTTCCACATCACATGTTGGGGCTGCGCGCCATGGTCGCTGTGTCTCCACCGCGGGTCCTCTCCTG